CCTTAATCGAAAGTTCTCTCTTGTTATCGGGAGGGGTAATTAACTATAGGGGCTTGCGCCTATAGGAAACCAGAACTCAGATCATGAAGTCTTCACAAATGAGGGAGAAATCTCTGGACAGTGTCTTATTTCAAACCCAATATCCCTTTTAAAAATTTATCCCGGGACTTAATTCGTTAAAACTTCCCCCGAAAGAGGGGAGGCTGGGGCATGAATTTTCATATCCCACAAGAACCAAAGACCCCCCACTGATTCGAGTATGCTGGTTTCCTATTTTTCGGTTTACATGAAGTTTTTTTATAGAAAGGGTTGGTAAGTCTACTTTGTTTAATCTTTAAATCAATTTTATATGATTTGTCCGGTTTGTCTGTAGAGTTTATCAGAGTTAGTTACCTATGGAGCCATACAATACAGTTAACACCTATGATTGGAGTATGCTGGTTACTTATTGAGCCATACAATACAGTTACCTCCTATCAATAGGCTTTCTAACTTTGTTTTGATTCTTCCTCTTTTACACACAACATGTGACATATCATAGAAGATCCTTTTGATGTCTTGAATATCCAGATTCATAAATATGTAATTTTACTATTGCACATGTTTTCTATGAAAGACATTCTAATCCTATTTCTCTGTTAGCTTATTGCCCAGTTGCTTCCTCAGTTTTATCCTATTTCTCTCCCTCTCTTGCGCACACATACATGCATCACTTACTGCTCCTTGTTCACTTTGGATTGCTTGCTTGCTGTGTCTTTGGTCTCTTAGTTCTTTTGCTTAGTGAAATGCTTATGCTTGGTTTTTTGCTAGTGTGATGGTAACCCACCTGTTGGAACCATTGAAAACAACCAAGAATGGCTAAATTGCAAACTAAAGTTAAGCCTGCTTAAAAATGAGCTAAATAGATCTATTTGGTTCATTATTTCTATTTTTTTTGGTTTACATGTAAAATTTTTATAGAAAGGGTTGGTAAGTCTACTTGGTTTAAGCTTTAAATCAATTTTATATGATTTGTCTGGTTTTTTTTTTTTGAAGAGTTTATCAAAGCTAGGATGCTTTCTAGATTACTCGGCTTAATATTACCCTTTGTTATTATCAACCTATTGGCTTAGATACATCTTATATTTGTTGTTCAGTTCAATTATATTTCTTTCAATTTTTGAAACACCAAACTTACTCATAGTAATGTGTCACAAGATGCTATATCAAAGAAGAAGATTCATGAACTTAGGGCAATAAGAAAAATGAAGCTCTTAAGTTTAATTTTGTTTTTATGTGTTATAAGCATCATTTTGCTCAAAAGTGGATGCAATTTCCTTTAAATCAGCGAACAACAATAATGAATTAGGAAGAAGTACACACCCGAAACTCTTTTTATTGCAAGAACTTGGAAAGAAAATAGCAAGATACTATGGGTCTTCAATTGGAGAGGAAGATCCGGCTCTCTCAAATTCTTAACCGTCGGCTAGAGCCCAATCAACCTAAGAACTTTCTAAATTCAGCAAACAAGACATAAAAACAGAACCCTAACCTAAACAAACTATTTAAAGCATAAAAAACATAGTTAAATGCCAAAGCAACCCCCTCCCACCTCCTAAACAAACTACTTTAAACATACAAAACATAGTCAAGAGTTTGGTCCTTACATCTGTCTCAGTGTATACCTCATCACATTTGAAACTGAGCCCCATCTCCCTCCTCTTGTAACTCCGTCTTTGTGAGCTTCCTGAATTTTCCCTCATGTCTCCCTCCTACAGCCTTCTACTTCGGGATCTCCCTAAAAATACCCAATGGTGGCTCCTTGGATGCCAAAAAGGTGGTGGTCATCCTATACGAACCTCCTGGACGGCTACCTCCAGCCTCTCTCTCTAGGTGCCTCTGATCCTCCTAACTGGGCTAGCTCCATAGCCTCGCCCAAATCAGGAGGCCTCATCACTCTAACTATCACTGGAATCTTTTGTTTGAGCCCTTTCATAAAATTCCAATACAGTTTCCAGAAGTCGGCTGACCAGGTGCTCAAGTTGTATGTTAGAGCGAAGAACTGCTCATAGAAGTCCCCTCCCCTGTTAGTTCGAAACGTTTCAACAAGCAATCTTTAAACTCCTAGGTTCGTATGAGCCGTCTCATATCCCTCCACTGGTATCATGCCAACGCTTTTCCTTCCAAGCACACCCTGCCGTCTTCAGTCTCTTCTCCTCCGTCAACCTATTGATGTTAAAATACATTTTCACCTTGTAGATCCACCTATGTGCATCCTCTCCCTCAAAAATAACCATTTTTAACTTCCTCACCATCATATCTCCTCTGTTCCCTCTGTTTCCTCCATAATTTCCATTTCCCATGGAAGTGGTTCCTTCAAATGTCTCGATCATCCTTTCTACGCTCGTACTCAAACCCTTCGTCAAAATTCTCCATTCTCCTTTCAAATTCAATACCTCTTCGATCATAATCGGCCCCTTCTCTCTTTTCAAATTCAACACCTCTCCGATTATATTCAATCCCTCTCCTTTCAAATTCAATACCCCTCCGATCTCCATACCCTCTACCCGGCTCCACCGTAGGAATAAGCTTTTGGGGAGGCATTCTCTCTTCTCCCTCTAAAGTCTTCACCTCCTGATCTTCCATTCACCTTATCGGATTAGGGTTTTTCCCATTTACTTGGCCGATGATAGCTTCCCTCGCCTCCGAAGACGCTGTTTTGGTTTGGAACTTGAGTATCCTCCTCCTCATCTCCTCCAAAATGGTAAACTTTCCATCAATCTTCTCTTGGATGGCTGAAAATTGCTTTTCGAAATTTGCAATCTTTTCTGCAAAATCAGATTTTAATTGCCCGATCTCCCTTTCCATCACTTCTACCTTTGTTCTCGCCATAGGTATCCGGATGAAGTCTCCAAAACATAAAAACAGTAAAAAAACAGTGAATCGGGCCTTCAAGCAGCAAAAATCAGCAAGATTGGAGAGAAAAACGCAACAAAAATTAACAAGAAAAATTTATATTTCAACCTATCAGACATCTTTGATACCAATTTGATTGGAAGTTGATGCAATTTTCTCAAAATCAATGAACAATAACAAGGAATTAGGATGAAGAACACTCCCAAAACTTTTTTTTATTTGAAGAAATTAGAAAGAAAATAACAAGATACAATGGTTACAATGGATCCTCAATTGGAGAGGAAGATTCGGCTCTCCCAAATTCCTAGCCGTCGGCTAAAGAAAAATTTAAATTCAACAAACAAGACATAAAAACTGAACCCTAGGTTAAACAAATTACTTAAATCAATACAAACATAATCATAATCATAATCAAAACAACCCCACCCCCTCTTTTCCCTCCTAGGGGTGTGGAACTTCAGTCGGATGCCTGGTTTCTGCTCTCACTATTCCTGGCCTGGATCGACCTTTCACATTTCTAGATTATTATGTGCTAGTTGGTGTAACAAACTATTGTATTTGTGATTGTAATTATAATGTGAAATGTAAAATTCTAAATTCTAAGGTGCCACATCAAAGAAGAAGATTTATAGACCCGGGGAAACAAGAAAAATGGAAACTCTCAAGTATAATTTTATTTTTATGTGTGCATTGTAAGTAGCATTTTTAGATTATTTGTATGCTACTTGGTGTAAAGGACTATGTATTTGTGATTTTTATTGTGTGTTTGTAATTGTAATTATGTGAAATTCAAATTATGAGGAATTTAAATTTTGAAATCTTGGAGGGATGACAAGGAGGGAGTATTAGATTGTATGCAAATAGAATTGGTGGTTACAAAATGAAAGAAATACTAATTTATAACAGTTATGGCCGACCTCATTGATCTAGATGCTAAACTTTTCTAAAAGTTATATAACTGCCCCGTTGCACTTCTTGAAGTGATCTAGTCCTAACTCTTCCTTTGATTTTTGAATTTTCAATTTCAAGCATGGTAAAACTTCTATAAATATTATAGAATGAAGAATAAAAATAGGTTGGGTTTACAAAAAAATTAGTTTCATCCAACAAGAGAAGGCTTGGTGGTCGGCCCTCACGTGAAGAGGTTTGATGATCTCTTTAACTTGGTTACATAGGTGAGTAGCAAGCCTCCCTATATTTTATTTTTAAGTTTTTTTGGTGGAATCTTTTCTACGCTCATCCCTACACCATCCCATATCCATTTTGTTACATTTATCCTCTAAAATCCATCCAAAACCCCTCTTAAAGTTGTGGGCCAGGTCTAGGTGGAATCTTACATAGTTGGATTCTAACCTGTATTTGACCCATCAAAACCACTTGGAATTTGGTGAAAATCTCTAGAATTATTCTTTTAAAATTCTTATTCCATCTCCGAGTTTTTGCATGCCCAACGTCCTATAATTCCGTCCTATTGAAGCCCTAAAAGTCAAAACTCCACATAAAAATTCAGCCAGAAGTCTCGTATTCATATATTTCATTTTTCATTGCATAAAACTTAAACATCATTCCATTACAACCCTTTCCAAGGCTTATCCATCAATCCTAATACGTTTTATAATCCTTCCAAGGACAAAACAGCAAACAATCAAGGGCAAAACCTTTGGTGGCACCCCAACACATAGCGAAGTCAGTTTATGAAAAAATGTGAAACCTATAGTAAAACGAATACAACTGCCTTTTTTTTTTTTGGTGTAAATTGGCCATTGATTCAAGATTTTGTTCTCCATCCTTTGGCACTTATCCAATGTGAAATACAAATAATTTCTAATTGGATATATTAAATATAGATATGCATTTTATTACCTTGGTCTTAATTTGTTCAGTTAATGGTCTCCATTCTGATGTAAAAGGAGACACAATAAAGAATTTTATGCATCATAGGATAAATCATTCAATTTATTGTGATTAATTCCTTCCTTTGTTAGAAGTGTTCTTTCAATGCGATCACTAGAGGCATGGCTTTACATTATTATTATATTGCATTACGTTTGGCTCTTTTAAGTATTTTGGCCTTAGAATTTATTAAATTTTGTTGTTTTTTCCAGCCCCTAGAGGCAAAAAGCGGAAGGGTCAAACTGGTACTGAGGTATATGCTTTTGTTTTTTTGAACTTATTTTCCAGTTGATATTTACTCTGTAAACAACTGGAGCTTGTATTCTCCTCTCTTCAAATCCTTGAATTTAGTGATGTTCTGCATCATATCAACCAAAAAAAAGTGCATGACTTTGAACTTACGCATTTGCATTGCAAAGTACATTTTTTGTAGTTCTGATTGTTTTTCCATTGTCTTGTAATCAGAATATTGTTTTGATGGTTATCCATTGTGGTTTTTTGTTTCTTTTATATCTTTTGGTATACTTGTCATCAAGAGTCTAGCAATAATAGAGTTTTAGTTTCTTATATATACTTCATGATAATGTTAGCGCTTTAGAATAGTGGCCTCCATGTTTGCAAGTTAGATTTTCCTTGCAGTTTACCTTTCTATAACTGGACATCTAAGTGTTTTGCTAATTTTAGTTTATTCATGGATTTTTTTATGCAACACTTTGATGTTGTTTAGAATTAGATTTAATTGCTAAAAGTCTGTTAGATTAGAAATTTCTGGGGTTGTTGAGGGTTGTCAAAAATTCCTGTTACCATGTAATCCAGATGACTATTAAATTAATCTACTTTCGAAAATATGATGATTTTGCTTTCATATTCTTTGGCGAATATTGGCTGTTTTCATTATTTAATATATCTCTAATTCCACAACCTAGTTCAACCGTGTTGTAGAAAAGAATTCCACCACCTTGCTCTTCTTATGGATACTTTGCACGCTATAGTAATAAATTCTTGTCTGCGTGGTGGTATTCCTGCCTTGTTACATATGAAACAGTAGCTCGGTTTCCACTGGAAGAACCTTAACATAGTAGCCCTCCCTTTGCGGTTGGAGTATGAATCCAAAAGGTGATGGCGGAAAAGTTATCAGTCATGAATTCAGGCTTGTTGGTTTCCTTGTTCTTGTGAGGATATCCTTATTAATTTAGATTGTTACTCTTAATTGGGTTTTGGGAATTAACTTGTTACTCTTAATTGGATAGGAGCAATCTTTAAACTTATGAATTGTGCTGTTTTCTGCTTTTTATTTGTTAACCTCATTGTTTTATTTATTTGGGCTGGTTCTTTGTTGGTAGCCTTTAATTGGAGTAAGCAATCAGGTATTCTGAAGCTTGGCGCCTTTGGGTTGTTAGTTGCCTTAGCGCCATTGGAATTAATTGGGCCTTATAAAAATCTTTACTTGTTTCGGTCATTTATGTTCTAGTTTCTTTAGCACTTTTTTTTTCCCGATTTGTTCTGACACTCCTACACTTCGGTGATTATGGTAGGAGAAGAGCATGAGATCTGTGGAGAAACTCGCCATGTTACAGTTTCCGCCAACTCTGAAAAAGCAGCTAGTCGATGACTGGGAATTTGTAACTCAGTTGGGTAAGGTAGTTTTTATTCTGTACCTTTTGTGTTTGTTTCTATAAGTTCCCCCTTCCCTTTAACTCTTTCCCAGTAGACATAATGGAGAAGTTTTTAGGCGAATTGCTTTCTTATTTATGAGAAACTTCTTTGTAGAAATAAATCAATTAAAAAAATAGAAGTTAATCAGTACTTGTATAGTCTCCTCAACCATAATGTGAATATTTGAATTTTGCAGCTTGTAGTGATGATTTTTATTTTTATTTTTTATGTTTTTTTTATTATCATGTCAGTATGTTATACTATATTGAGGATATGTCTATCTGTTTCCTCATATAGTTGAAATATGAAAACGATCAAATAATCAAAATGGTATTTATTCTTGGATTAGCAAATGAGGTTGATCTCTCAGAAAAAGCCAAGCCCTACTCTATGAGTCTAATTGATGTCTAAGAGAGAAAACTAATGAGTTATTTTACTTGAGGTAGATTAGGTTTATTTTAATGAGATTTTCTCTGGTGTTTTGTTAGGATATATTTAGATATATGGTCAAGATTTTTTATGGACATATGTCCCTATAATTAATTACCTATCTTGCTCATGGCAGAGCACTCTTGATTAAGGAGATTGCTTAGGCTCAATTTTAGGGTTAGATTTATTATCTAATGGTAGGTGGGATGATCTTAAATTTAATCAAGATTTCATGGTTCGTATATTAGTGGATCCAATATAACAAGTTCAGGGGGTTGTAAGCCATAATGCCCAGGGAGATTGATTACTAACTTTGGATTACCTCATCTCCGGTATCTTGAGTAGATTAGGGTGAAAATGTTGGTGTATCAAAGACATAATTTTGAGATTGAGATGTACGTACTTGTTTGCAGAGGGTTGGACATGTCGGGTTCACTAAAAAGTTTAGAGAGAACTTAATTGCTTGTGTGGTTCAATGGTGCTGGACATGGCTAATAAAAGTCAGAGATATGGCATGTCTATTAGCAGCCGGCAAATTTCATGGTTCGTATATTAGTGGATCCAATATAACAAGTTCAGGGGGTTGTAAGCCATAATGCCCAGGGTGATTGATTACTAACTTTGGATTACCTCATCTTCGGTATCTTGAGCAGATTAGGGTGAAAATGTTGGTGTATCAAAGACATAATTTTGAAATTGAGATGTACGTACTTGCTTGCAGAGGGTTGGACATGTCGGGTTCACTAAAAAGTTTAGAGAGACAACTTAATTGCTTGTGTGGTTGAATGGTGCTGGACATGGCTAATAAAAGTCAGAGATATGGCATGTCTATTAGCTGCCGGAATATATATATATATATATATATATTTACTTGAGAGAATATATATAAGAAACATGAAATTTCTGGTTGGAGTGATTTTATTTGTAGGATTGATTTTGATGGATTTATTAAAATTGGAGCCTGCTCGAGTTTAAGTTAAGTTAGGGCTTACATCCATTGAGGGCCAAGTTATGTTTTATTGGGTTTATTGGAATTGTATTGATTTAAATTGATCGGATGAGACATACATCTATTCAAAGGCCCACAAGTATGATTTTCCTCAAAGGTGAGGAAAGCTTGGTGCCATGTCTTGCAACTTTGCTCTATAGGTAAGATGTATTATTTAATTTAATTTGACAAACTTGCTTGCTTTATTCTGGTCTCATGAATTGGGATGGGCTTTACATTAATTCAGTTTGCTCGTGTGAAGAAGGCTTATGTTTATTGCCTTATGGTTTGGACACATAAACTATTAGCCTTCTGATAACTCAGTTAGGAGAGTAGATGTATTGGATTTGACTTATGTTAAGAAAGATAGAGGTAGACCTAAAAAAAATGGCTAAAAAAATATTAGAAATGATCTTTTTTTTGTTAAATTTAATTGAGAATTTGACTCTTAATAAGACAATACAGAAAAATGATTCATATAGCCAATCTCACGCATGATGTTGTTGTTGTGTAAAGAAGGCTTCTTTGATTCATTGGCATTCTCAATGCAAGATAGCCCTAGGCCTTCTTAATGTAAGATGCCATTATGGCTATAAGGGTCTTTATTCATTCATTGGCTCATGTTTATAACAGGCTTTTTATATTACTTAAAATGAGTGTACCGTAAACATTGAAAAAAAAAAAAACATTCCACTGTTAGGTACCATTGAAGATGATTGAAACTTTTAGGATTACTTGTGCTTATGATGTGATCACTTGCATATCCTCAAAGGATGTGGCCTGCCAAAATTTTAGTTGTATTCAATAAAATGGCTTTAGGTATTTCTATGTTATGTTTTTAGTGGTTTTTGTGGTACATCATATAGTCTCAATGTTTTGATAAAAAAATACTGATAATGTCAATTAACCCTTAAATCATGTTATATAGGTTTTTATATCGTACATTTTGTGAAGTTATGGCTCATTTGTACTTTGAAGGCGCTATTTCACTAACTATTTTGGAGATGCACACAATGCTTTTACTATTTGGAGTTGCAGAATTATAGCTAGTTAATGTTTTGAAAGGTGAGGAGTTATACCTATCATAAATTTGGGTGTTTGGCCCATAAATTTTATAATCTTATTATTTAATTATATTAAATACAACAACAACAACATCAATCCTTTGTCCCACTACATGGGGTCGGCAACCGCCATTGTGTCATGTTTTTTTTTGAAAACCAATGCCTCAAAATGCATTAAACCTAAAAAAAAAAACAGATACAACTCACTCAAGAACTCCCTAAAGCATCACACTCCTTCAAACAATGTAAGAACGAAGGAGGAATGGAATTCTCTTGAAGATCTTCCCACAAAAAAGATCCTTCTAAAGACAAAGTAGCACACATGTCCGCTAAATTGTTACCAAGTCTACTAGAATAAGAGAAAATAACTTGCTTAAAATCTAATAAAAAAGCCAAACTAACTTCAATAACTTTGCTAACCTTCCATTTTTTGATTGAATTTTGAAGCAAGTTGATGATGTTCCTGTTATCCCCTTCAATGATAACTTCTTGTGCTTCAAACATCCAGTCCTTCTCCACATTCTTCAAAAACAGCACAGCACAAAGTTCTGTTTGAGCTGCATCCCAGTGCTGAAGTGGATTACTGAAAGCAAGCAGGAACCGGCCTTTGTCATCTCTAGCTACCCCTCCAATTCCAGCCTTGTAGTTCTTCTTTAGAGCACCATCTACATTGATTTTAATCCATCTGGGAGGTGGGGGATTCCAATGAGAAGACAGCCGAAGCTGGTTGGTATCCCAGTTTTCCGGTTGGAAATTCAAAAAATTGCGGTAATTGCTCTGTACCGCAAAAGAAATAGCATTGGCTGCTATTGAGTTATCAGAATCCTCCTTTCCTGTGTGGATTAGTTTGCACCTACTCTTCCATACCAGCCATACCACTGTACAGTATAAGTTTGCAGCGAGATCTTCCCTCCCAATCAGCTTCTGAAGTCCTTCTAAGCAATCCTCAAAGCATTGATAAACTGGAATATACAATCCCCAGTTATTTAACAGAGAAGCTACCTTCCGGTTTTTAACACAATGCCCTCCAAT